CCTGATCTAACGAATCAGAAACACTATTTATAAAAAAACATGGTGGTATTTTCATAAATAATTAAATTTTGAAATGCAAGTAAATTGTGTTAAAAATGCCAGCAATAGTTCATATAGGACACCTAATGATTTGAAAATTGTTGAGTGGTTTTTATTTTTAAGATGATATATTTCAACTGAATCCTCCCTCTGCCTCCTAATTAATATTTTTTTTTTTTACTTCGTACACATTCTGCATGGCATTGATGAAAGATAAATACTGAAAAGCCTGTCCGTAGAAGACCAACCCCGGCCATTTTGAACAAAAAGCTAAAACTTTGGCTTTATATGTATATACTCATACAAGATCCTAAGGCTTGTATTTGTGTGGTAATAATATACGGTTAATACAACATACTCATACGTATAGTAGTGCATTTACTGATAGGAAAGATTATAGGGTGCTTGACAAATAGCTGTTAGCAAATTGGGTTAGCGGGTTTAACTAGATGATAACATTAGTTGGTTGTAGAAAAATGTTTAGTAAATTAACTGTAAGCTGATAAATGATTACATGCAAAATGACATTTAAGAGTATAATTTATTTTCTCAAAAAGTTTATCGAAAAATATGTTTTGAGCAGCTTTTAAATTTTAGTGTTTTGAAGGAATCGGCTATTAATAAAAGCTGAGTAACCAAATATTCATATTGACTGTTTAACCAAGTAAAACAACTCAGAGTGGTCAAACAAGTTAAAATTGACTGATAAGTTAATTAGAGAAATGGAAAACTAGAAAAAAGAATACATAAATGCATTTATTACTTGCACATTTTTATATTTAAAAATAAAAAGTAGAGAAAAAAAAAACTAAAAGTGGAAGAAAATGCATTTTTTTGAGAATTTAAATTTTTTTTTTTTTTTGAAAACTCGAGAATTTAATTAGTTAATCACACATGGTATATGCACCATCTTGTTCAAATTTGTGTTGAGTAAAACAACTAAGTTTCAACAATAATAGTTTGGTAGATGAAGCAGGTTTCCTTTATTCTGCCACCATGCAATTGACGTTTGACCAGATCATATCTTTGAAGTAAGATAAAAGTCACTACATTAGCATGGTGATCCCAAAACACCTTGCATTGGTAAATGAATTTAAAAGCATTTGTTTATTCCAAGTTTAAATTTTGAATACCCTAAATCTTTGAAATAATAATAATTAGGAAAAATGGTGATTTATCTTTCAATTGTGAGTGAATATTGATTTAATTCCTCATCTATTTGAGTCATGATATGTATTTAGTTCCTGAATTGTTAAGGTTATGACAGACTTAGTCTCCAAACTGAAATGACATACATTTTAATTTTAATTGTAAAATACAAAAAATCTCTAACTTTTCATGATTATTTTAAATATACTTGAAACATTGCTCTTCGCTCTTCTCTCTAATAAAATCAATTTTATGGTTTAGAGAAAATAGATTACTGAATGCTTAGAGAAAAATGCTATAGAATCTAGGATAACAATCTTAAAAGTGAAGGTTTTGTGCATTTAATAGTAAAAATGAATGTCCAGCCATCACCTTAGGGACTAGTTTTAATTTGTCACAACGTAACCTTGACAACTAAGGGGCCAAATATGAATGGATGATATGTATAATTTTTGATGGATTAAATTAATTATTAGTTGATTGTTGAAAGACTGTCATATTCCGTGACAATAAGTATTAAGAACTCATCAAACTACATTATAGCCTAGTTGATAAATTTCCTTCAACATGACAAAACAATATCCTTTATGTAAGCTCCTAGGGAAATGAAATTAAGATTCGAAAGCTAAGCAATAAAGATCAAACTGAATTTTTCAACATATAAATTATTATATACCTTAATTTGATTATAAGAAGATTAAAAAAAAAAAAAAAAAAAAAAAAAACACCAGTTGATTCCTTACATAGTTGCATCTAAAGGCATTCACAAGGAGTTGCAATTCTGATGAAGTGACATACCAAATTTCAAAAATGAGTGAAAATAAGAATCAAGATTTTAAATATATATATATATATATATATATATATATATATATATATATATATATATATATATATATATATATGGATCATTGCGGAAAGGCTCCCAGGAAAAAGATGGGGTGAAATCTGAGCCATTGATCAAATGTAGATGAACGACTCAAATCAATGAAAATTAAAAAAAAAAAAAAAAAAAAAAAAAAAAAAAGGCCTCCTGAATTGAAGGAAGCAACGCGTAAAAATGGCGCACCTTAACTGTTAAATTGTCACACCTTGATTGTTAAACATGGTGCACCTTAAGTATTACAAAGACACTTAAGCTATGGAAAGACACACCTAAAGGTTTAGACTGACGCATCTTAAGTTTCAACAAAAAAACGTACCTTAAGTTCTCAACTGAAGAACTGACGCACCTTAAACACAGAAATCACGCATCTTAAGTGTAAAAAGAACGCACCTTATTAAGCTAGGGAAAGACGCACCTAAAGCTTTAGACTGATGCACATTAAGTTTCAACAAAAAAACGCACATTAAGTTCTCAACTGAAAAAGTTACGCACCTTAAGCACAAAAAACACGCACTTTAAGTATTAAATCGACATATCTTAAGCACAGAAACTACACACCTTAACTTTTGTTGAGTTTGTCTCATATATGGATTAGGAATAAGTGTTTGTCTCATACTAGGAGTAGGAGTGAAACGGGTAGACCTATTGTATAGGGATTGGATGCCTATAAATATATTGGTTGTATCCCTAAAGGGTTGTGTCACCACTAACACCATCACAAATAATAAGAGAATACTTTCACTCCCGTGGATGTAGGCACATTGCCGAACCACGTAAATCTTGTCTTCTTTATCCTTTACTGCCATTATTATTTTTCTTGTTCTTATTAATCTCAACAAATTGGTATCAGAGCTCTGTTGAAATGGTCAGTTCAAGTACAAAATTCGAGTTATCAAAGTTTGATGGTATAGGGAATTTTGGGTTATGGCGGGCTAGGGTAAAAGATTTGTTGGTACATCAGGGCCTTCTAAAAACCTTGAAGGCGGAAAAGCCAGCAAATCTGGAAGAGGCTGATTGGAAGGAGTTGAAGAAGCAGGGAGCTACGGACGTGGTACATGCTGATGACTCTTATTATAGTGAAGGTGATGTTCTAGCGGTAACTAGTAACAAGTTCGAACATTGTTTGGACTTGTTGGGCGTTTCTAGATGCTAGATGAGAAGATGGTGAGGGGCGCTGTGGTGTTGGGCAGCGCGGATACCAGGAGGGGTCATGGACCTGGTATCGCTATGGGTCAATATTGGCTTGGTATGGGCCAGTATGGCACTAGCATGGGTCGGGCTTGGCATAAGTCACGGCTGGTATGGGAGGACTTCTCGGGACGACGAAGAAGTTCGTGAACATGCACTGGGAAACGTTTGATGCTGCGTTGTGCGTGTTGCTGGCCAGTGGTAATTGCTGGTTAGTGGAGCATTGGGCAAGGCACACGGGTTTAGTGTGACTTTGCAGGGGCGCTGTTGTGTTGGGGCAGCGTGGATACCAGGAGGGGATATGGACCTGGTATGGGCCGGATGCAGGAAGTCAGCTGAACGGGGCAGTTAGCATGAGTCGCGGCGGTATAACAGGTCGACGGCTGAGGGGCGAATGGCTTGGAACAAAGCGGTTCGTGTACATGCACTGGGTAACGTTTGATGCTGCGTATGCATGTGGCTGGCTAGTTGGGATGAGCATGGTTGTTCCTACCCATGTGTATATGTGAGATAAGTTTTTTTCTCCTAAGGGGCATAATTGTGAAGGTGGAGGTGTTGCGATAAGTCTTTTCTCCTAAGGGACATATTTGCTAAGGTGGAGATTTGTTGAGTTATCTTTTTCTCCTAAAGGACATATTTGCGAAGGTGGAGATAGTCTTTTCTCCTAAAGGGAATATATGTGAAGGTGGAGATGGTGAGATAAGTCTTTTCTCCTAAAGAGCATATTCGTCAAGGTGAAGATTTGTTGAGTTATCTTTTCTCCTAAAGAACATATTCGCCATGGTGGAGATTGTTGAGTTTGTCTCATATATGGATTAGGAATAAGTGTTTGTCTCATACTAGGAGTAGGAGTGAAACGGGTAGACATATTGTATAGGGATTGGATGCCTATAAATATATTGGTTGTATCCCTAAAGGGTTGTGTCACCACTAACACCATCACAAATAATAAGAGAATACTTTCACTCCCGTGGATGTAGGCACATTGCCGAACCACGTAAATCTTGTCTTCTTTATCCTTTACTGCCATTATTATTTTTCTTGTTCTTATTAATCTCAACAACTTTCAATAATATAGAAAATGACAAAATTGTCACCACGTTTTTTTTTTTTTTTTTTTTTTTTTTTTTTTTTTAAGTTTTCTTCAATCTGGACTATTGATTTTGATTAGATCAAGAGCTCGGATTAAACCTCATATTTTACCTGAAGCCTATTACGGTGATCCTTCATATATATATATATATATATATATATATATATATATATATATATATATATATATATATATATATATATATATATATATATAAAATGAGACCATCTCTTTCCGTGAGTCCGATGAGACTTTTCAAAAATGCACAAAAGCTACTACAGGAATGTACAAAGACTAGATTTTGTGAAATTCGTCGAGCATGAATGTACACAAGCTATCATGTATGCATTTGTGTAGTAGCATGTATGCATTTACAAAGTGCATTTACAAAGGGTCTCACGGGAACATTTTGATGCACTTGAATATTATTATATATATATACATATATAACAGCAGTTTCAATGAAGATGAGCTGTACTGTTAATGCTGAATATTTACCAAATAATCAACTAATCTCCCTAATTTAAGCAAAGAACGTTGACAATAGTGTCGTCATACTGTCATAGATGTGTTCAACTTTTGTATTTGGATTGGACTTGATAATTATAGTTTTAGCAATTAATAATAATAATTATAGGCATGTGCCAGTAAATTGAATTCTGAGTTAATTAAACATTTATTTATCATAACTAGTGTACTACTCCAGCCAGAATATAACGCTTACACGGATGGGGAGAGTACTTTACTTGGACCTAACATTATTATTCATAATAACATCATATCAAACCAGATTTGCTTGAAAACCTTGATGATCAAATCATGGTACTCGTCGGAGTTCAAAGACAGATAGCAAGCAAGAAGATCTTCCAAGTCCTTTGATGCCCTGATGTTGTTCTCCACTATCATCTCCACCATTGATTCCCGGAAGTCTCTGCGTGGGTCCTGAGATGTCTTCACAACTGCAAAGCTCTGCGACGACGACACGCTTTTCCTGCCCTGAATTCTCCTCCCCATCCTTGGACTGTTCGTCCTGAGTTTCAAACCTGAATGCCTCCGAACGGGTCTTGTCCTCTGTTCTTTTGACCTTTTAACCATGTCGTTTTGGTGTTCTTCTTCCTCTGTTTTAGGTGAAGCCTTGGTAATGATGGGAGGGAGTTGTGGCGGCAGGATTGTATCAGTATCGCAAGAGGGTGATAGGGAGAGCGTTTCGTCGGACCTCCGATCAGGTTCCGACGAGGAGGTGTCGTTGTCGGGGGAGGAAACGGGCGTGGCAGCCGCCGTGCTTATTGTCTTGGCGTTGCTGCTGCGCCGTTTCTTGGCGGATTTTCGCGGCGAAGCGACGCGGGTCTTTGGAGGGGCGTTGAGGTCTCTAGAGATGTAGTAGGATTTCCGGTGGTGAGAGTGGCTTGTGGCTAGATGTGTTGATGATGATGAAGAAGATACGGATGGTGATGAAATTTGGGTTAGGTGTTTCTTGTTTCTGGTTTTGTTGCCCATTTCCTTGAGCTTGTAAAACCAGGCATTTGGGATGATTTCAGAGAATCTGAACTTGTAATTCCCCATCTCTCTCTATCTATCTCTCTCTCTCTCTGAGTTGAGAATGTGGGGAAGGTAATATAAATAAATATAGAAGGTAGAGGGATGGGGTCCAGAAAAGCAAATAGAATAAGGCCAATGTGGATAGAGCAGAAGCCTGAGGGTGAATGGTTCGCCATTTGCTTTAATTTCTTCTTTACATTGTTTATGCCGTCAGTCCATTAAATAAGGGTTTCATTGTTTTTTGGGGTGACGAGGGTCATTGAAGGATTAAATTATTCACTTTATTAAGTGATAAAATTGATTGATTGTAGAAATAGTTCACGAGAGACTAAAATTATTATTTCGTGAATAATTTAGGGGTTAAAAGATGGTCACACATATAACTCAGAGACTAAGTTTATGCTACAGGTATAATTGAAGGACCAAAAGTATAATTTTTCTTTATTCTATTTCCAACTTTTTATCCATTAATTATAAAATTATAGTGAAACATTAAGTTGGTCACACTTGTGTGTGACCGTCTCATGGATCTTTACCCATGAGACAGGTCTATTGAGGTCAATATGAAAATGTACTTTTTTTGGTGCATAATATTAAACGTAATACATATGCTGAAAAATGTAATACAGTACTAATTATGAATAAAGTGTTTTCTTACATGTAATGAAAAACATAATACTTTTGAGGAAAATTTTAATACTTTTGCATTTTGATGTAAAAATATTACTTTTCTCATAAAAAATATTAACTTTCTCTTATAAATAATGTTGGCAAGTGTTTGTTACTTATAAAGGAAAATTTAATACTTTTGAGGAAAAATGTAAAATATTACATTATTATATTTTCCTATATAAATAATAAACCTTTTATTATTGATTTAGTATTACATTTTCTACTATTAGTATTACATTTCATCTTGACCCGACCCGTTTTATGAATAAGGATTAGTGAGACGGTCTCACTTAAATTTTTGCCTAAGTTAAATATTTGATTATTAACTAAACTAGTATTGCACCCGTGCGATGCACGGCTATGTTGTTATGGTGCAATTATAACACATGTATATGTTGAACATATAGTAAATAAAAGGTTAAACATATATTAAATAATGTTAACCGTGGTATCAAAACATTAGTACCTGCGTTGTTTCGACATAGAATCTGCGCCTCAATAACATGGTTTCCCAAATTTGTAACAATCAACCATGTCCAAGTACAAAGCCCCAAATAGTGGTCTATATTCCTCAACAGCATAATTCGAGATCTAACCTTTAGGGTTAAACAATGATTCGGAACACCTGAACATCTCAAACTTTTAAGAAATTCAGTGGTGTGAACTTCAAATTGCATATCAACATTTGTATATGACTTGCACACAGAATCACAACTCAAATACGTCTTAGGAGAGCCTTCATTTATACCATTCATGTATTCATTGACATGGTCGACAGTATCTAATGTCGTCGGCAAAATAGCTCTAGTCTCAAGATGTATAGGATCCATGTTACCACTACGGTATGAAGGAAATGTGCTATCCACAATTTCTTTTATGGGATCACCTTCATTTTGCAAAACAAACTGTGACGGTATAATTATGTCGCACTCACCGTCATTATCTTGACCAAGTTTTCCATCACCTAAATTTGCAATCCAATTTGTAAAGCTCTCCAACTTCTCAACCTCTTCTTCCGAAGTAATAGTACACAAACGTAAATTCTTCGTTAACCGAAGAACTTCGCAATTGTTCCACAAGTAAGAAGAACTGATACTGGCTTGTACTATTTCTTGTCCAGTGACTGTTTGGAATAACTGGGAGTATTTGTCTAAAGTCTCCACCTAGGAAAACTATTTTTCTACCGAATGTCATTTCTGAGCTTCTAGGATTTGAGAAGCGCATTAAGTCTCTCATTGTCCTATCCAAAGCTTCAAAACAATGATTGTACATCATAAGAGCTTCGTCCCAAATTATTAATTTTGATTTGATATATATATATATATATATATATATATATATATATATATATATATATATATATATATATATAGTTATATATAGTTACACTCCTGTGCAAATGGATTTCCCAGGAGCGAAATAGGAATGACTGCTGTCCGTCCACGTGTTCAGATCTAATGGATGAGAAACACTGATTTTTAAATAAAATGCAGTGGCATTTTTGTAAATAATTGAACATAGAAGTGTAAGTAAAATGTATTAAAAGTGCATGTAAATGTATTATAGGTGCAAGTAAAATTTACACTAAGCATCAATACTAAGTGCACCTATAGTTATAAGTAGTTGCACCAATAGTTATAAGTAGTTGCACTAATATTTATAAGTAGTTGCACCTATAGTTATAAGTAGTTGCACCTAGGTGCATGAATGTTTGCACCTAGTTGTACCTAAGTAGTTGCGTAGAACCTAAGCTCTCAATTCCTAAGTCAGGTGAGGCATTTTATCAAACATTATACGGGTGGTCTATTGTTTCCTCGCCGAACTACCGGAGATTGCAAGGGTAAGACTAAGGAAAGTGCAATATCTTGCTCCTTTCCCACTATCACACATCTCTCTCATTGGGATCCTACAATGAAGAGAGAGTCTATATGCACACCTCTACAACATAGACATTCAAGGACAAGCAATGCATCAAATCTCATAATTCAATCCATACAAAGCATGAATACACAATCTCAAATCAATTCCAATCCAAATCCTAGATGTCTAGCAATTCATCATCATTAATAGATCAAAAACACAATATCAAATATGAATTTAAAGCAAGAAGAAGATAGGTTACCGAAGTCTTCAATCCAATGTGCTAGCAATGTTGAGCAATGAATTCTAGAGATGAAATAGAAATCTAATCTAATGAAAGAAATGAGTTTCCTAACCCTAACCCTAAAACTAAACTAAGAGATCTAAAATGAAAGGGCCAAAATGATGGTAAAAATAAGTCTCCTAAATAATCCCCTTACAAGCCTTTAAATAGGCTGAAAATCTGAAATTTCTGCGCTGACCGCCCAACAAATTCCACAACGCGTTGTACTTTCGGTTTCCCAACAACGCACGGCCAACACACGTTATGCATTGCCTTTTTGTTGGGATTTTGCCTTCCTTCCCTTTAAAAAAGTTGTATCCCTTGAAGTTGTTGAACCATAGCCACTTGAATCACCTCATTTGGGCACTCCTAGCTCAAGATATGATTAACCTACCGAACTGTCGCCGTAATGCCCTATAAATGACAATGTTTTGCTTTTTTCTACAAAGGCAATTCACAATTAGTCCTTGATCTTATTTTATCAAAGTAGGCTATTCTAAACATGTATTAGGCTCAAAGGACTCTACTTATAGCACAATAAGCCGTCTAAACACCTCACTAAATGCAGCACCTTTGGCACTTATCAAGTAACATTTCCACAAGGATTGGATCTCACATTAATTGAAGATTTGGTAAAATTCTCTTTCTTAGCTTTCAATTCTATATTTGTTATCTTCAATTTGTGTTTTCAATCTATTAATGATGATGAGTGGCTAGATTTCTAGGATTTGGATTGGATTTGATTTATGATTATGTATTCATGCTTTGTATAGATTAAATGATGAGAAATTATGTATTGCTTGACTTTGAATGTCTATGTTTTAGAGGTGTGCATATAGATTCTCTCTTCATTGTAGGATCTCAATGAGAGAGGAGTGTGAGAGTGAGGAAGTGGCAAGAGATTGCACTTTCCTTAGTCTTACCCTTGCAATCCCTGTCCTACGATCTAAGAAGGCTAGGCCCGGGAGGAGAAGGTAGACCGCCCACCAAGTGTTTAATAGAATGCCTCACCCGACTTCGGATTTGAGAGACTAAGTCTTACGTGACTTAGTGTTGGTGCCATAGTTCTCCCTTAGGATAGTCTTGCCTTGCACCATCTCTTGTCTACTTGAGACCCATGAATGCATGATCACGAATCCTATCCATCCAAATCCCCGTTTTACATATTAGTTTATTTCCTTTGTTTCTTTGCTTTCTATGCCTACATCAACGTTCCCATACCTACTCTCCTCTTGCACCTAGTTAACTCTTGTTGAGACATTGTGACAATTGATTGTCTAGCACTTTGCTTACTCCGAATGGCCATCCCTTGAGACACACGGGGGTTCCACATCTCCGTTTATACCTTTCCATCATTCCATCCCACTACACTACAAGTGGAGGTAAAAATCCAAATGTCAAAATGGTGCAGTTGCCGGGGATGACAATAGGTTCTAAGTAAAGTGTGTTTACTATGACAATCTAGGAGTGTATCAATAGGAGTTCTAGGTTGCCCATTTTTATTTTACTTGCTATCCATTGTATTCCATTGTTCTATCTTGTGAATTCATTGTGTTGTTATTCCCATCATTTTGTCCAGTGTGTTGACTTGTGATTCCATATTTGTTTTTATTTCATTTGCACATTGTGTGCTTTATTCCTGTTCTTGAATATTGAAATTGAAATTGCATTTAAGCTAACTTGCAACTACTTTAGTTGCAAAATCTTTCTCTTGTCTTTGTGCTTTTAATGCTAGATTGATCTTTGAAGGATGACCTCTCAATTCTATGATTTTTATGAGGATCCTTATGAACCTTCCCAACATTTCCACTATCCCCACCAAACACATACCCCACCAAACACATACCCCACCACCACCCCAAGCATATGCACATTCTTACAATCCTCACCATCAAAACCACTATTACAATCCATCACCACAAGAACCATACTCTCAAAATGCCTACTCCTATAATTCTCACGAAGCTTACCATTCTCAAACTTATCCTTCAAACCATTTTGAGAAAAATGATGACTACTTCTCACTAAGAGGCCAAAATAAATCTCAATCCTATACCTCTTACTCAAACCAAGCATACTCTCCACATTCTTACACTCAATACCTACCCACACCATATCATTATGAAGAAGGGAATCCATCCTTGTGACACCCCGTATTTTCATAAAATAAATTATAGTCCCGATATTAAATATTTTTATTAAAAATATTTATATAGTATTTATTTTGAAATGGGCTCGGGTCTATTTAGTATGGTGAATCAGTATTTTATTACCCAAATGGCTTAAGGCCAAAATATATTTATATATTTTGTATGGACTTTGATCCAAAAGAAATACCTAACCCAAGCTTTTGACCCAAGTCTAGCCTAAGCCCAACCCAACCCAC